GTTGCAACCGAGGACTGACGATTTTAAGCGCTACGTGCTTCAGCACTCTGCGGTCCCGTTCTGTGAGCTTGTGTGGCCTATCACTTAGCGGCTGAGCTGTTGTTGCTCCTAGATGCTTCCACTTCACAATAACAGCACTTACAGTAGACCGGGGCAGCTCTACCAGGGCAGAAATTTGACGAACTGACTTGTTGGAAAGGTGGCATCCTATGATGGTGCCACATTAAAAGTCACTGAGCTCTTCAGTAAGGCCATTCTACTGCCAATGTTTGTCTATGGAGACGGGTGTGGCTGAAATAGCCGAATCCCCTAATTTGAGGGTTGTCCACATACTTTTGTGTAATATATAGATATATATACACACACAGTGATGTAAAAAAAGTATTTGATCCCCTGCTGATTTTGTACGTTTGCCCACTGACAAAGACATGATCAGTCTATAATTTTAATGGTAGGTTTATTTGAACAGTGAGGACAGAATAACAACAAAAAAAATCCAGAAAAACGCATGTCAAATGACTGCCTCGCCTGGTTCACCAACTACTTCTCAGATAGAGTTCAGTGTGTCAAATCGGAGGGCCTGTTGTCTGGACCTATGGCAGTCTCTATGGGGGTGCCACAGGGTTCAATTCTTGGGCCGACACTTTTCTCCGTGTATATCAATGATGTCGCTCTTGCTGCTGGTGACTCTCAGATCCACCTCTACGCAGACGACACCATCTTGTATACATCTGGCCCTTCATTGGACACTGTGTTAACAAACCTCCAAACGAGCTTCAATGCCATACAACACTCCTTCAGTAGCCTCCAACTGCTCTTAAACACTAGTAAAACTAAATGCATGCTCTTCAATCGAACGCTGCTGGCACCCGCCCACCCGACTAGAATCACCACTCTCGACGGGTCTGACCTAGAGTATGTGGACAACTACAAATACCTAGGTGTCTGGTTAGACTGTAAACTCTCCTTCCAGACTCACATAAAGAATCTCCAATCCAAAGTTAAATCTAGAATCGGTTTCCTATTTCGCAACAAAGCCTCCTTCACTCATGCTGCCAAACATGCCCTCGTAAAACTGACTATCCTACCGATCCTTGACTTCGGCGATGTCATTTACAAAATAGCCTCCAACACTCTACTCAGCAAATTGGATGTAGTCTATCACAGTGCCATCCATTTTGTCTCCAAAGCCCCATACACTACCCACCACTGTGACCTGTACGCTCTTGTTGGCTGGTCCTCACTACATGTTCGTCGTCAAACCCACTGGCTCCAGGCCATCTATAAATCACTGCTAGGCAAATCCCCGCCTTATCTTAGCTCATTGGTCACCATAGCAGCACCCACCCGTAGTCTGCGCTCCAGCAGGTATATCTCACTGGTCATTCCCAAAGCCAACACCTCCTTTGGCCGCCATTCCTTCCAGTTCTCTGCTGCCAATGACTGGAACGAATTGCAAAAATCTCTGAAGCTGGAGACTCTTATCTCCCTCACTAACTTTAAGCATCAGTTGTCAGAGCACCTTACCGATCACTGCACCTGTACACAGCCCATCTGAAATTAGCCCACCCAACTACCTCATCCCTATATTGTTATTTATTTTGCTCTTTTGCACCCCAGTATCTCTATTTGCACATAATCTCTTGCACATCTAGCATTCCAGTGTTAATACTATTGTAATTATTTTGCACTATAGCCTATTTATTGCCTTACCTCCATAACTTGCTACATTTGCACACACTGTATATATATTTTCTGTTGTATTTTTGACTTTGTTTTTTTACCCCATATGTAACTCTGTGTTGTTTTTATCGCACTGCTTTGCTTTATCTTGGCCAGGTCGCAGTTGTAAATGAGAACTTGTTCTCAACTGGCTTACCTGGTTAAATAAAGGTGAAAAAAAAAAGCTCCCAGGTGTCTTTTATACAGGTAACGAGCTGAGATTACTCTTAAAGCACTCTTAAAAGGGAGTGCTCCTAATCTCAGTTTGTTACCTGTATAAAAGACACCTGTCCACAGAAGCAATAAATCAATCAGATTCCAAACTCTTCACCATGGCCAAGACCAAAGAGCTCTCCAAGGATGTCAGGGACAAGATTGTAGACCTACACAAGGCTGGAATGGGCTAAAAGACCATCGCCAAGCAGCTTGGTGAGAAGGTGACAACAGTTGGTGCGATTATTCGCAAATGGAAGAAACACAAAATAACTGTCAATATCCCTCGGCCTGGGGCTCCATGCAAGATCTCACCTCGTGGAGTTGCAATGATCATGAGAACGGTGAGGAATCAGCCCAGAACTACACGGGAGGATCTTGTCAATGATCTCAAGGCAGCTGGGATCATAGTCACCAAGAAAACAATTGGTAACACACTACGCCGTGAAGGACTGAAATCCTGCAGCGCCCGCAATGTCCCCCTGCTCAAGAAAGCACATATACAGGCCCGTCTGAAGTTTGCCAATGAACATCTGAATGATTCAGAGGATAACTGGGTGAAAGTGTTGTGGTCAGATGAGACCAAAATCGAGCTCTTTGGCATCAACTCAACTCGCCGTGTTTGGAGGAGGAGGAATGCTGCCTATGACCCCAAGAACACCATCCCCACCATCAAACATGGAGGTGGAAACATTATGGTTTGGGGGTGTTTTTCTGCTAAGGGGACAGGACAACTTCACCGCATCAAAGGGACGATGGACGGGGCCATGTACCGTCAAATCTTGGGTGAGAACCTCCTTCCCTCAGCCAGGGCATTGAAAATGGGTCGTGGATGGGTATTCCAGCATGACAATGACACAAAACACACAGCCAAGGCAACAAAGGAGTGGCTCAAGAAGAAGCACATTAAGGTCCTGGAGTGGCCTAGCCAGTCTCCAGACCTTAATCCCATAGAAAATCTGTGGAGGGAGCTGAAGGTTTGAGTTGCCAAACGTCAGCCTCGAAACGTTAATGACTTGGAGAAGATCTGCAAAGAGGAGTGGGACAAAATCCCTCCTGAGATGTGTGCAGACCTGGTGGCCAACTACAAGAAACGTCTGACCTCTGTGATTGCCAACAGGGTTTTGCCACCAAGTACTAAGTCATGTTTTTGCAGAGGGGTCAAATACTTATTTCCCTCATAAAATGCAAATCATTTATAAAATGTTTACATGCGTTTTTCTGGATTTTGTTGTTATTCTGTCTCTCACTGTTCAAATAACCCTACATTAAAATTATAGACTGATCATGTCTTTGTCAGTGGGCAAACATACAAATCAGCAGGGGATCAAATACTTTTTTCCCTCACTGTGTAATATATATATATATATATATATATATATATATAATATATATATCTATAATATATAATATATATCATCATTATATATTATCATATATTTAGAATGAGCGAGAGAGGAGAGACGCAGGGAGACGCGCAGAGAGACTGGGCGCAGCGTAGAGACGCGTCACGACGATGGGGAAGCGGACGGCAGCGCGGGGCGAGCGACTCGAGTCGCCGCAGACGGGCATCGCGCCGGAGATGAGAGAGAGAGAGAGTGTAGGTTATAGGCCTACTGTTCACTCAAATTAAGTTCAGAATTTTGATAACTAAAAGACAGATTAGTCTGTCATTGTCTTCTCTTTACAGCAATAGCCATCTGCTTTCAAAGCTGTGTTTTCCCGCGATTGTATTTTGAAACATTGCAATGTGCCTGGCTGGGCCTCTACTTTTCACTGACCGTCACAACTCCATCATCTTGCTATTTGCCACTCCACGCTGCCCAAATTGTGGGCCCTTCCGTCTGTAGGAAATGCGATTTAAAACAATCCAGCTTTTTTGTTGTTGTTATAAGCTAATGATCCTCTGTGGCCAAATCATGCTTTCTGGTGTAGAAGCCTATTTTTAATGATTTTATTTATGTATAGACAGGAGTAGACTAATTAGGTTATAATTTCGGCAATTAAATAAAATGTAGGAGAAGTTTAGCTTCCCCTAGCCTAATGGACGCACCGCATATGTGTCACCAGTTACACTGGTATTTGCATCCAACCTTTCGCCTGTTATTGGCAACTGAAAGCTTGGGTGCTTACTGGAAGTAGGCCTAGGTCTACTTGTTATGAACAGACTTTTGAGACTGGCACAATGGCAAGAATGTTGGACAACAGAGGAACCTGACACCTTATTTACTTTATTGTTTATGTACTAAACCAAGATTTTGGTGTACAGATAATAGCACATCCAAAACCTTAGCACAGCCCTGTCCTCTTAGCCAAATAATAAAATGGCCTCCATGGCCTTGCAGAAGAATAAATCAGGGTGGGTTCTGAGTAAAACTAAAGGACTATTTAAAAAAAAGAGGAAACTCTATACCCACATCATCCAAAGTACAATTATTTTCACAAAAGTGATGCCAATCAAATTATTTGACACCTTTCACGCCCAACAGCTGTGGAGGGCATTTGTATGTTTTTCTTGACATGGCAACACTTCCTAAGTAAAACCACATAATTGAAGTGATAGGCCTGGGTGTAACGCAAGATCCCTGGGATGGGATTGGAGAATGGGTGAAGGTCACAGGATGGAGCAGATTTCGCATCTGATTATCCAGTACAATGGGATGAGGTATGTTACCTAGCAGCACGTGGTCATCTTCGTGCCTCGCTTTGTTGAATAAGAGGGCTGAAGGTACCAGGCCATTTCAGCCCATGTTTTCCTTCAGGCTTATCACTATGTTCATGCCAAATCCCAGCTCTTGAACACTGACCATCCTCACATAATTCACATCAAACCCAAGCTATAGAGCATGAAAATATTCTCAAGCCTTGTCTGATCATGTTTCATTAGGGTGTTCACAAACCCTTTGTAGCCTAGTTTACTATTATTGCTGATAAAATAAATGCAAAGCTGGAGGTTTGCGTTTAGGGGTTGAATTATAAAATAGCCTAATGTTCTTCAGCAAAGCCCTAGTGCTCAGGTTTCTGTGGTTCTATTGCATTTCTGGGTAACGTAAACCCCCAGTGAGCTACCTCTTCAAGGAAAAGAAAAGCAAAGCATTTGAACAAATAAGAGTATATGCCTATTCTGTGAGAAAATTTTACCTGAAGCTTATAATCTAGGCACCTCTTACTCTATCTGAAACTGGTTGTGATAATGAGCATTAGCAGACGCCTACCAGTTTGCTTGGCTGCCTAGTCTTTGTTACAAAATAGCCTACAAATAAAAGCCTTTCACCCTTAGAGGAAACACTGACATCTGAGGGATGGATTTCAGTTTATGTAATTAACTAAGCTTTTAAAGGAAGCTCTCTAAAGTAACGTGGAAAATCAATAGTAAGTCATTTAGACAGAATGAGCCTCATGATCTCTAGGTTAACAAGCATACCGAACCCTTTCAGATTGCCAATTCACCATGACCTTATACTCCATTGTCAACTGACTGGGAACTGAATAGCAAAAACAACACACAGACAAAAATCTAAAAGAGGTGTGTCTCACCTGGTCAGCCCCATAGGCAGCAGCAAACTCCATAAACTCCTCAATGCGTACAAATCCATCCCCATCCTGGTCCAGAGCGTCAAACACGGCCATCAGAGGTGACGGGTCTTTCTCTCTCCGATTCACTATGGGAACCACGGGCATGGAGTCAGACCCCACCATCTTAGAGAGTGACAGATTCTCCACTGCTTGTTCACTAGTCCATCCAGACTCAGAAGACGAACCATTCAACTCCAGAACAGGGTAATCAAAACTATCCCGTTTGTGACAATCCGTGGGTCCGGCAAACAGGTCCAAGTCTGCCAACCTTTCCCCATCACTCTGTTCAGTTTGTAAAGCAGGAATACAGTCACCCTGTATAGCCTCGGGTGGTTTCAAGTGCCAAGTTTCCTCATCGCGCAGCGCATCTGAGGTAATGCACTGATCCAGAGCCATTTCCTCCTCTCCCTCATGTTTGGTAACATCAAAGATCACTTTGTCTTCCATCAAATCCTGGGGGCCATTCTCCTCCGAGCTGCAGCCACTGGGCAGGTGACCCAGGATCGAAGCATCTCTGTCGGAGAGGACTTTTGGTGACAGGGGTTCAATCAATGGTGAGGAGTTCAGAAAGAGGGACGAGTCCCCCTCACCTATGTGGTCCGAGAGAGTCAGGATTGCAGTAGCTAGCGTGTGTTCCTGCTCTGAATCCTCTGCAGGTGAATCTGATGTAGCACCTGTGCAGGTAGGTGAGTCGAGATGAGTAGGGCAGAGGCTGAGGCCACAGTCGGGAACCTCCAGATCCAGCAAAGGCACAGATCCCACCTGAACCTCTGGCAATAGGCTAGGGCAATCAAAAGGGATGGCGTTTTGTGAGAGGCTGCTCTCAGGTAAACCTTCTGGGGTAATGTTACTGACCGTGGGCAGATCAGTCACAGGTCCCAGGAATAAACCTTTGTCCCCAGTTTCAGGTGGCACAGACTCCCCACCCTGCAAGGGAGGAGGGAGGCCTCTGTCCTCATCCATTGACGGGAATAAAAGCTTCTCACTGACACCCTGTGGGTTTACCTCACCTGAAGGAGCAGGGCCGGGGGAAAAAGGGGAGTGTTCAGATGAGAGGTGATCTACCAATAAAGAGGAAGCCTCAGCGTTGGTATCCGGAGTCCTATCTGAAACCTTCACAGTAGAAGGAGGTTTACTGAGTGTTATCAGCTCCCTGTGACAGGTAACAGGGTCTCTGTCACCCACAGGTGGATTTTGTTCCTCGCAGGCTGAGTTGTCCCTGAACAAATTAGCCATTTTGGAGAATAACAGCCCAGGTAGAGGACTGTCACTGACATTGTTATGTTCCTCAATTTTGTATTTGAGAGGCGATACCTCTGCAGGTTTACCCAGGGGAACATCTTGGGAATGATTCGATTGATATCCCTTCCATGGCAAGATCTGATCTCTACCAGAGTAACTGGAGGTCCTGAAAAGGCTGTCTAAATTTAAGGCGTTCTCCTGAAAAAGCTCTTCCAGGCTTAGAGATACACCCTGGTCGACTTTCTGGAAATCCAAACCTGTCTGACCACTTTCTCTCTGAGGCAGTATGGCTCCTTTGTCTGAATCCATGAGGAGGAATCCATGGGAGGGTATGCGTTCTGGATCCCACTCTGAATGCCCCAGAGGGCTAGACATCAGAGTCTGTTCCATTTAAGTAGATAGCTAATTCCTGAGCAAATTAGAAAATTATAATTCCTTTATTTCAAAGTCAACATCCAATTCTTCCTCAGTTTCAATATTGTTGTTATTCTACACATGGTAGTCGACATCCTTGATTAGATCCATGGGCAGATTTTGCATGATGGTAAATAAAACACCTGCCTTCACTGTCTAATTTATGAAATCTTAGCACTGTGTAAATGCCTTAGTGCTTACAACTAGTGTAGCCCCCCCCCCCCCCCCCCCATATTTATTGATTTGTCTACTTGCCATAATTGTTGTTGCCTAAATAATCCACTACTCATGCATTTACCCCATCTAAGCATGCACTTTTTTAAATGGTGTCAACAACTAAACCAATGTGTATTTTCAGATTATGAACTCTGATTTCTACTTTGGAATGCAACAAATACATTGGTGACATGTGACTTACCAAAATAACGCTAAAACTAAATAGAAATGTTCTAAGAACCAACATATTACTGAGGCAACAACAGGCTAACGTCATAAAATGTATGATTCACACAAAAAAGTTGATGCGATATCACACAAAAAGATGAGTTCCTGTAATAGTAAGTGACTTGATCAGTTTAGCGTGCTAGAAAATGGTCAAACCTGACCAAGGAGAAAGGAAGTAAATGAGAAACACGGCGTGTTATCTAAAACACACATTAATTGTCCCCATCTCCAGCATTGGGACTAATGCGAGGGGACCTTCTTGCTTACACAGCTGACTGCCTAACACTTCAGTCTGAAAATATTAAGCAGCACATGGGATTCATGCTATCAATTGGATTTAATAAATACCACCAACGCGTTAAAGTTATTTTAACTAGTTAACATGTGCTAACAAGGTCCAAAATGTTAGCCCTAGATTATCCACAATTTGGTTGCAAAGTGTGACCGTTTTAACAGGCTAGCCAGCTAGCTTTTCGCCAATGTGATATGCGTCAGGGCTTGTCAGAGGATGATAATACGCCAACCTTGAAGTAAATAAATAACGTTAGCTTGCTAGCTAACTTGGCTAGTTAGCAACGCGTGACTCTTTTTACATAAGATTGAAATAGTTAGGCTTGCTTGCTGACTGACAACATGTTTAATAATGTAATATTAACATTGATTTAACGTTACGTTAACGCTTCCGAACATCCCCACCAGTCTCATATCTGAAGGACGCTTTAGTTAGCTAGAAACGTTAGCTTGTTAACTAGAAGCTAGCTAACAAGCCAAATCGTCCATCTCTGATTCTGAAACTAAATTAGACTGGCTATGAGGCCATGTAGCTATTTTAATCTTCCCAGTAAAGTTAGTTTGTCCGTTTTGTCAATAATTCTGATTTACATCCGCGTTTAGTGTTTTCATCCAGATGTTTCGAATCCAAGATAGCTAACTTAACATTATTCCAAGAATCATCCACCTGTGTCAGGAACAAATTCAGTCTGCTTGCTTAAAATTTCTTCAGCTATTCCCGGCCTCCCGAAATGTATTTACCATCCTAACGCTCTCCAAAGACATGATGTCCGTCAGAAGATGCTCCGGAATGTGTCAAATATACAAAATATGTTGCCAATATTTAGCTACAACAGAGGCCGTTCACACTTTCATCAGCAGCAAATGCCCTGCCAACCCCCTCAGCCGCATACAGCAGTGATGTTTCACGCACGCGCATAGAACGAACCGCAGTCTCCAAAATAGGACGCAAAAATACACTACATGACCAAAAGTATGTGGACACCTGCTCGTCGAACATCTTATTACAAAATCATGGGCAATTAATATAGAGTTGGTCCCCCTTTTGCTGCTATAACAGCCTCCACTCTTTTGGGAAGGCTTTCCAATACATGTTAGAACATTGCTGCGGGGACTTGCTTCCATTCAGCCACAAGAGGATTAGTGAGTCGGGCACTGATGTTGGGCGATTAGGCCTGGCTCGCAGTCGGCGTTCCAATTCATCCCAAAGGTGTTGGTTGGAGTTGAGGTCAGGGCTCTGTGAAGGCCAGTCAAGTTCTTCCACACTGATCTCAACAAACCATTTCTGTATGGACCTCGTTTGTGCACGGGGGCATTGTAATGCTGAAACAGGAAAGGGCCTTTCCCAAACTGTTGCCACAAAGTTGGAAGCACAGAATCATCTAGAATGTCGTTGTATGTTGTAGCGTTAAGTTTTCCCTTCACTGGAACTAAGAGGCCTAGCCCAAACGATGAAAAACAGCCACAGACCATTATTCCTCCTCCACCAAACTTTACAGTTGGCACTATGCATTGAGACAGGTAGCATTCTCCGGGAATCCAACAAACCCAGATTCGTCCGTCAGACTGCCAAATTATGAAGCGTGATTCATCATTCCAGAGAACACGTTTCCACTGCTCCAGAGTCCAATGGTGGAGAGCTTTACAGCACTCCAGCTGACGCTTGGCATTCCGCATGGTGATCTTAGGCTTGTGTGAGGCTGCTTTGCCATGGAAACCCATTTCATGAAGCTCCTGACGAACAGTCCTGGTGCTGATGTTGCTTCCAGAGGCAGTTTGGAACTCAGTAGTGATTGTTTCATCCAAGGACAGACCATTTTTACGCGCTACGCGCTTCAGCACTTGGCAGTCCCGCTCTGTGAGCTTGTGTGGCCTACCACTTTGGGGATGAGCCGTTGTTGCTTCTAGACGTTTCCACTTCACAATAACAGCACTTACAGTTGACCGGGGCAGATCTAGCAGGGCAGAAATTTGACGAACTGACTTGTTAGAAAGGTGGCATCCTATGACAGTGCCACGTTGAAAGTCCCTGAGCTCTTCAGTAAGACCATTCTACTGCCAATGTTTGTCTATGGAGATTGCATGGCTGTGTGCTCGATTTTATACACCTGTCAGCAACAGGTGTGGCTGAAATAGCTGAATTCACTAATTTGAAGGGGTGTCCACATACTTTTGTATATATAGTGTACCTCTGTGTAGGCTTTTAAAAGCATTGTCTAACCATTGTTTATCTGATATTTGTACATCCATGGGGTTATGCTCATTCTCCAGAATAAAAAATAACACCAACAGTGATTGTGAGTGGTACCCTGTCTTCCTCATCTAAATAATACATTTAATGTTCTTGGTGGTTTTCTTAGGCTTTTTTTTTCATAATGGTGAACGATTAATGTAAAGGGTATATTGAGAATGAAGTTCAGCATCTGAGCAACACAAAATGTGATGTCTTACTTTAGTGTCTACCAAAAATAGGCAATTCTCTACACCAGTGTTTCCCAACCGGTGGTACGAAGAAAACAAATATTGGGAAAAATATTAACCTCCCCAAAATATATATTTACGTTATTTCAATTTTAATAGGCAGGAAAACATTTACTGAGGACACTGGTGTGAAATCTCTAGTTATTTTATATTTATAGGCCTCATTTTTTACTTCAGTTTCGGTATGTGCGCTTTGCTCTGTCTACCTGGCCTCTGCACGCCCGCCCGCAGTGTTGCCAACTCCTCAGTAAGGAAAGTCGCTATTGGCTGTCCTAAAAGTCGCTAGAAGTCGCTACATGATGTCATTACCTAATTTGCATAATTTGCCATGTGCATGTAATTGTGATGGACGCTGTAGGAGAGAGGAAAAACGTTGTGGGAGAGACAAAAAGTAAGTGAAAAACACCCTACATTTACATCCCGCCCTGAATGTAAGCATGTACATTCAGGGCAGGATCAGCCAGCGGCGGCTTCCCGCATGTGTAACCGGTGTGAAATGGCTAGCTAGTTAGCGGTGCGCGCTAGTAGCATTTCAATCGGTGACGTCACTCGCTCTGAGACCTTGAAGTAGTTGTTTCCCTTGCTCTGCAAGGGCCGTGGCTTTTGTGGAGCGACAGGTAAAGGTGCTTCGAGGGTGACTGTTGTCGATGTGTGCAGAGGGTCCCTGGTTCAAGTCCAGGTAGTGGCGAGGAGAGGGACGGAAGCAAAATTGTTACATTGATGCTGTTGACCCGGATCACTGGTTGCTGCAGAAAAGGAGGAGGTCAAAAAGGGGGGTGAGTGTAACCGGTGTGAAATGGCTAGCTAGTTAGCGGTGCGCACTAGTAGCATTTCAATCGGTGACGTCACTCGCTCTGAGACCTTGAAGTAGTTGTTTCCCTTGCTCTGCAAGGGACGTGGCTTGTGTGGAGCGACGGGCAACGGTGCTTCGAGGGTGACTGTTGTCAATATGTGCAGAGGGTCCCTGGTTCAAGCCCAGGTAGAGGAGAGGGACGGAAGCAATGCTGTTACACATGCGCAATTAATTTGTAGTCTGGACGCGGAGGGGTGAACATCTCCTGCTCTGACTGGGAGGGACTGCTGTGCGAGGACTGGGCTGCCTGTGAGTGCTTTGGGACTGGGGTGTGGCCCACGGCAGCACCCGCTGCTCGTTGAAAAGAGTATGAACGATACGTGCTTTCACATCAGAGTCTCCAAAAGTTTCCAATAACACCAGAAAAAGTCGCTAGATTTGTCGCTAGTCGCTTTTTTGAAAATGTTTTGCTAGAGGGGTCTGAAAACTCGCTAAATATAGCGACAAAGTCGCTAAATTGGCTCAATGTTTGATCCTCTGCTCGCGCCAAGTGCATGTGATCCTTTGCGCTGTGCGCTAGAGTGCCTGTTGCTGTTATCCTCGCTGAAACTATGATTGACAAGACAGCAGCTGATGCACTGAAGACTGTACCATTGTCAAATAACACTGTGTGCGGTAGGGTCGATGACATGGGCGTTGATATTGTTGATCAATTGGTGAGAAAAAAAAGTAATAAATCCTGTCCATTTTCTCTGCAGTTGGACGAATCGACTGATGTCAGTGGGGAAGCCAAGTTGATTGCGTTTGTGTGATACAGAGACATTTCGGAAATTAATGAGCACATTCTGTTCTGTTAGAAGCTAACGGGGAGAACTACAGGTGAGGATGTGTTTCACGTTGGTGACATCTTTTTATCAGAGCACAATCAGGATTGGGAATCCTGTGTTTATGTATGCACGGATCGTGCTGCATCAATGCCTGTGAGAGTGAAATGATAAATTGCCCACATAAAGAAGGTAAATCCCACTGTATCATTCACAGAGAGTCATTGGCCAGCAAGATAATGAGTCCTGAGTTACATTATGTTTTGAATGACGCAGTAAAAGTGGTTGCCTTTATTATGTCCAGGCCTCTGAATCACATTTACATTTACATTTTAGTCATTTAGCAGACGCTGTGATGACAGTGGGACTGAGCACCAGCAGCTACTGTTTTACACCGACGTCCGTTGGCAAACCAGAGGGGAAACGTTACAAAGGCTTTTTGAGCTGCGTGCCAAAGTGATTTTCTGTCTGAGCACTCACACCCACTTGTGGACACAGACTGGGGATCCCGCCTTGCCCATCTTGCTGATGTGTTCAGTAAACTCTGCAAGGTAAAGACACACACATTCTACATGTATGACAAAGTGTGTGGATTCATGAAGAATAACTAACTTTGGGAGAGGAAATGTGAAGATGGGAATATAAGTTGTTTCCAGCAGCTTGACGCCTACCTTTTTACAGGTGATGTTGACAGAGCTCCTATGGTGTAAATAGTAAGCTCACATTTATCCAAACTCAACAGTGAGCTCAACTTCTACTTCCCTGACATTGAAAACAAGTCTGCCAATCTTGACTGGGTGCGTAAAGAAATGTTTTGTCAAATGTACACCTAATTTAGGAATCACGCTGGTCGCACGCGCATGAGGGGGTACTTCAGGCAGGGGTACAGTACCCCAAAATTGTTGGTTACCACTGATCTACACACATTGCAGCCTAACCAAAGGCGCCAATTTAAACTGCATTGCACATTGGCGCCCCCCTCAGGTGGGTTTGCGTTAATGCATATTCATTTAACGAAAGAAAAGGTGCTACACCAAAATCTGTATAATCTCTGGCTATACTATTGGTGCTACTGTTTCTTTCACTTTTTATCTTGATCAATATGGACATAGTGTAGGGCAGGCCTATGTAAAAACTTAGTGTTTGCTTGGAGGAGTAATTTTCTACCGTATCAATACTCAAACTCAGTACATAACTTTCAGGGACTGCAACCGCCGATTAAGAGGTTGGGAAAATGTTATGATGTTCAATATGCAGGCACAGTTTTTAAGTGTCATTATAAAAAGGTTTATTAGGAAAGTTCTGTACTTTGTATGTGGAAATTGTAAGTGCTTTACAATGAAATACTACATAAGGCGATTTTACTAATCACTATAAGAGTTCATCAACATTTTGATTCTTAATCCAAAGTAGTTGTTGAATAACTATCATCTAAAACTGGTGTGGATTTACTCAAATTAACCCAACACTTGAAACCCAACCATTTATCCAGTTTCAACATGTGGATGTGAAGTATTTTTAGGTCAATGTTTTTTAGGCAATATTTGAGTGTTTACCTCCTATTTTCCTCGTAACCACTATCAGCTATGGTAGCTTTCCAGTCTCAAAGATTGTACATGGCAAATCCTTTGATTTATACGTTGCAGATTATTCATAATCTGCCACTTTATCTTCACCATCTACTTGTCTTTCTTCAGTTAAGATGACCAATAGCCTGAAACAAAAATAAACACAATTTGATTTAATAGTATCTGCATATCAAATAATAACAGTCAATGCTTCTCTATCTAATGTATCCAAGGCCACAGCAGAAAATGGAACAAATTAGGAAATCAGTTAGATCAAACTCAGGGCAAAACACCACCCCTATAACTATGCCACTGCGCCAGAAAAAAACGTATTTCTAGATGAAAGTTAAATGCACTATACTGAGCGTCTTGACAGTATCCACAACACAACTTCACAATGTCCTCCTCTCCTAGACCTACATCTCCACTTCCTCTCCTGTCCTACACACCTGGGACGGGGGGAGGGTCCATGTCAGAGTTTAGTGGATTGAGAGGGATCTGTACCGAGCAGCATGGATACATCATTGGCCGAGGTGAGTCAACTCCCACCGTCCACCACCATGATGTGGCCCGTCAATAGGAGGAGGCGCGGCTGGTCAGGAACAGCTCCATCTTGTTGCCTGGATAAGAAGGCATCCATGCTCTCTGCTCTGTTGCCACCTGAGGACAAGAGAGAGGGGGGTGAGAAACAGAATTTGGGGCAAAGAGAAATGAGACTGAGGACTTCATTTAGTTTACCTCTCCTCAGGCTCTGCTCTTGATAACTTTGACCTCACTAGCATAGAAATAACGCATCATTACCCAGACCTACTTAATCAAGTGTATACTAAAACCTACTTAACTAAAAGTTAGAGAAGAGTGGCAAGATTAATCACTAAAAAGTATGTGTGGCCATGTGTGTGTTTGGCACACGGCTTAATAAATCAATCGTGTTTATCAAATCCCAGCCAGGCAGCCACAGATCCTTACCCAGCCTACGGAAGCCCTCTGTGCCCAAAATAGGACCTGGTGCCAGGGTGTTAACCCACTTGGTCCCCACTCAACGGCCAGGTGCTTGGTCATGGCATCTGAGGGAGAGAGATTTGGACAGGAAAAGGGGAGTGGGATGAAGAAAGAGAAGGGAAGTTATCAGTGGGCTAGGTTATATCCGAGAAATAGTGGTGAAACTAAAAGACTAGAGCCATTTCTACCAAATACATAGAATCAAATAAATACAAAACAATATAGTAACAATCATATACTTGTAACATAGTCATGTTTTTACCGTTGGCGGCCTTGGCAGAGCCAGCATGCACCTGGAGAGCCTGATTCCTGTAGCCAAGGGTGGCAGATGTTCACAATGGCACCCTGAACGCAAACATCAGACATGATCAATTCTATCTATCCATACATTTATACCAGAAGTACACTATATATACAAAAGTATGTGGACACCCCTTCAAATTAGTGGATTCGGCAATTTCAGCCACACCCATTGCTGACAGGTGTATACAATCGAGCACACCGCCATGCAATCTCCATAGACAAACATTGGCAGTAGAATGGCCTTACTGAAGAGCTCAGTGACTTTCAACGTGGCTCCGTCATAGGATGCCACCTTTCCAACAAGTCAGTTCGTCAAATTTCTGCCCTGCTAGATCTGCCCCGGTCAACTGTAAGTTCTGTTATTGTGAAGTGGAAACGTCTAGAAGCAACAACGGCTCATCCCCAAAGTGGTAGGCCACACAAGCTCACAGAGCGGGACTGCCAAGTGCTGAAGCGCGTAATGCGTAAAAATGTTCTGTCCTCGGATGAAACAATCACTACTGAGTTCCAAACTGCCTCTGGAAGCAGTGTCAGCACAAAAACTGTTTGTTGAGATCTTCATGAAATGGGTTTCCATGGCCAAGCAGCCGCACACAAGCCTAAGATCACCATGTGCAATGACAAGCGTCGGCTGTAGTGGTGTAAAGCTCACCACCATTGGACTCTGGAGCAGTGGAAATGCGTTCTCTGGAGTGATGAATCACGCTTCACCATCTGGCAGTCTGACGGATGAATCTGGTTTTGGCGAATTCCAGGAAAACGCTACCTGCCTCAATGCATAGTGCCAACTGTAAAGTTTGGTGGAGGAGGAATAATGGTCTGCGGCTGGTTTTCATGGTTCGGGCTAGGCCCCTTAGTTCCGGTGAAGGGAAATCTTAAAGCTACAGCATATAATGACATTCGAGACGATTCTGTGCTTCCAACTTTGTTTGGGGAAGGCCCTTTCCTGTTTCAGAATGACAATGCTCCCGTGCACAAAACAAGGTCCATACAGAAATGGTTTGTCGAGATCGGTGTGGAAGAACTTGACTGGCCTGCACAGAGCCCTGACCTCAACCCTATCGAACACCTTTGGGATGAATTGGAACGCCGACTGCGAGCCAGGCCTAATCACCCAACATCAGTGCCCGACCTCACTAATGCTCTTGTGGCTGAATGGAAGCAAGTCCCCGCAGCAATGTTCCAACATCTTGTGGAAAGACTTCCCAGAAGAGTGGAGGCTGTTATAGCAGAAAAGGGGGGACCAACTCCATAGTAATGCCCATGATTTTGGAATGAGATGTTCGACAAGCAGGTGTCCACATACTATTAGTCATGTAGTGTAAGACTATTTTAGGTAATAGCACAGCAATGAAAAACAAACAGGAATATCCATGCAAGTCACGCAAATAGGTAGGTAGTTAGATTAAAGGAAATTGATTGAAAAATCTCAGTGCATACTGAGTGTGCTGTACCTTGAACCACTTCTCATAGACCACCTTGCTGGTGTAAAACGTACCCATGGTGTCAATCTCCAGGACTGTCTTGAAGGCATTGAAGGAGAGGGAGTTCGCAAGGCACAGGACGTTTCCTACAGCATCTATAAAATTGAGTGCTAGACATATTTCAAACAACCAATGTTAAACACGTTTCCATTAGAAATAGGGTATTAAAATGAACATGTAAAAATGCAGAGTAAATTCAGATTAAGAAAGACTAAAACTAAACCAAGATTGAAATGTGTGTGTGTGCATGTCTGTCTGTGCACACGTGTGTTCTACATACTATTAATGAGGACATCATCCTTCCAGGCTCCTTCAGCATCTCGTCCACTGCAGCGGAGATGGTCTGCGTCTGTCGCACGTCAATGGTCAGAGGGAGACAGTGGCGTCCCGTCGCTGCCATCAGCTACTTAGTAGCCTGGAAGAAAACACAGATTATACATCAGAATTATAAATCAACATTTATTTAAAGTTTATTCAGCATAAAATCAACATTGTTTTTTGTTTGGTCTACTTATTACATAATATCTGTAATCTTTTCCATGTTTCTGCTGGCGATCACTGTGTCACAGCCGTGCCTGAAAGAGATGTCACTTCCGGACTTGTGCCACTTGTCTCTGTGCTGCTGTGCTGTTTGTTGCAACTTGGCTATCTGCCAAACTTTTCGGTTTTTAATTTGAATACATTTACCAACGTCTTAGTTTTTTCCTCGCTCAACTTTTCTCATTCAACTTTTTCACCCTGGACGCTTTATCTGGACTTTAGCTGAAAAAGCTAAGTAGTAACATTAACACTATGCCATCCAATTGCAGTCACTGTACTCATAATATACAGGAAAACTATCGCCTTATGGTGAGGATAGCCGTGTTGCAAGCACAGCTTCAGACGCAATCGTTAGGCAAGGGCAATTTAAATGTAGGAAAGGATGAAACAGCGTCTGTGCCACCAGTAAGTACAGATAGTAGTATAAATCCACCCGCACCCGCAGCCGGACAATGTTCTCAAGGCTTCTGGAAAGAAATGCTGTCTGCATTCTCAACCGGTGTCGCTCATTCAGCCGACAGAAACTTTAAACCGGTTCTCCCCATTAAGCAACTAGTCAGAGGCTGAGCCTTCTCAGGTCTCTCCTCCACCCGTTAAGCCTCCCAACCCTAGTCATTGGCGACTCCATTACCCGCAATATTAGACTTAAAAATAATCATCCAGCAATCATAAACTGTTTACTAGGGGGCAGGGCTACCGACATAAAGGCTAATCTGAAGATGGTGCTGGCTAAGGCTAAAACTGGCGAGTGTAGAGAGAATAGGGATATTGTTATCCACGTCGGCACCAACGATGTTAGGATGAAACAGTCAGAGGTCACCAAGCGCAACATAGCTTCAGCGTGTAAATTAGCTAGAACGATGTGTTGGCATCGAGAAATTGTCTCTGGCCCCCTCCCAGTTAGGGGGAGTGATGAGCTCTACAGCAGAGTCTCACAACTCAATCGCTGGTTGAAAACTGTTTTATGCTCCTCCCAAAAGATGGGGGGGCACAAAGAGGGGACTCACCCACAAACAGGACCAAGCCTGGCCTGCTGAGGAGTGACGGACTCCATCCTAGCTGGAGGGGTGCTCTCATCTTATCTATCAACATAGACAGGGCTCTAACTCCTCTAGCTCCACAATGAGATAGGGTGCAGGCCAGGCAGCAGGCTGTTAGCCAGCCTGCCAGCTTAGTGGAGTCTGCCACTAGCACAGTCAGTGTAGTCAGCTCAGCTATCCCCATTGAGACCGTGTCTGTGCCTCGATCTAGGTTGAGCAAAACTAAACATGGCGGTGTTCGCCTTAGCAATCTCACTGGAATAAAGACCTCCTCCATTCCTGTCATTATTGAAAGAGATTGTGATATCTCACATCTCAAAATAGGGCTACTTAATGTTAGATCCCTCACTTCCAAGGCAGTCATAGTCACTGATCATAATCTGGATGTGATTGGCCTGACTGAAACATGGCTCAAGCCTGATGAATTGACTGTATTAAATGAGGCCTCTCCTCCTGGTTACACTAGTGACCATATCCCCCGCGCATCCCGCAAAGGTGGAGGTGTTGCTAAAACTTATGACTGCAAATTTCAATGTACAATCTTTTTTCCCGGTGTTTTCGTCTTTTGAGCTTCTAGTCATGAAATCTATGCAGCCTACTCAATCACTTTTTATAGCTACTGTTTACAGGCCTCCTGGGCCATATACAGCGTTCCTCACTGAGTTCCCTGAATTCCTATCGGACCTTGTAGTCATGGCAGATAATATTCACATTGTTGGTGGCTTTCGGAGCCATCACCAACTCAGTGGGTTTTGTCCAACATGTCTCCAGACCTACTCATTGCCACAGTCATATCCTGGATCTAGCTTTGTCCCATTGTCACGCTCGTTGAGTACAGGATTGGACCAAGGCGCAGCGTGGAATGCATACATGTTTATTCACTAAGTTAACACACGACAAAACAACAAATGCAACGTAACGTGACGCTCACAATGGCTACAAGCCAAACAAGAGTCAAGATCCCACAACATAGGTAGGCAAAATGGCTACCTAAGTATGATCCCCAATCAGAGACAACGATCGACAGCTGCCTCTGATTGGGAACCACACCCGGTCAACATAGAAATACCAAACATAGATATTCACATCACATAGATATTCACACCCTGACCAAACCAACTAGCGAACTCTATGTCAGGGCGTAACACCCATGGAATAAATGTTGTGATCTAAATGTTTTTCCTCATAATCCTGGACTATCGGACCACCATTTTATTATGTTTCCAATCGCAACAAATAATCTGCTCAGACCCCAACCAAGGATCATCAAAAGCCGTGCTATAAATTCTTGGACAACCCAAAGATTCCTAGATGCCCTGCCAGACTCCCTCCACCTACCCAAAGACAACAGAGTACAAAAATCAGTTGACCAACTAACTAAGGATCTAAATTTAACCTTGCGTAATACCCTAGATGCAGTCGCACCCCTAAAAACAAAACACATTTGTCACAAGAAATTTGCTCCCTGGTATACAGAAAATACCAGAGCCCTGAACCAATCTTCCAGAAAATTGGAACGGAAATGGCGCTCCACCAAACTGGAAGTCTTCTGACTAGCTTGGAAAGACAGTACCGTGCAATATCGAAGAGCCCTCACTGCTGCTCAATCATCCTATTTTTCCAACCTAATTGAGGAGAATAAGAACAATCCAAAATGTATTTTTGATACTGTCGCAAAGCTAACTAAAAACCAGCATTCAACAAGAGAGGATGGCTTTCACTTCAGCAGTGATGAATTCATGAACTTCTTCGATGAAAAGATCATGATCATTAGAAAGCAAATTACTGACTCCTCTTTGAACCTGTGTATTTCTCCAAAGCTCAGTCTGCACAGAACTGCCAGGACCTAGGATCAATGGAGACACTCAAGTTTTTTTATCCTGTATCTCTTGACACATTCATGAAAATAGTAATGGCCTATAAACCCTCAAGCTGCATACTGGACCCTATTCCAACTAAACTACTGAAAGAGCTACTTCCTGTGCATGGCCCTCCTATGTTGAACATAATAAATGGCTCCCTAGCCAACAGATGTGTACCAAACTCACTAAAAGTGGCAGTAATAAAGGCTCTCTTGAAAAAGTGAAACCTTGACGCGGAAAATGTAAAAAAAACAATCGGCCTATATTGAATCTCCCATTCCTCTAAAAAAATTAATGAAAAAGCTGTTGTGCAGAAACTCACTGCCTTCCTGAAGAGAAATAATGTATACGAAATGCTTCAGTCTGGTTTTAGACCCCATCATAGCACTGAGACTGCACTTGTGAAGGTGGTAAATTACCTTTTAATGGCGTCAGACCAAGGCTCTGCATCTGTCCTCGTGCTCCTAGACATTAGTGCTGCGTTTGACACCATCGATCACCACATTCTTTTGGAGAGATTAGAAACCCTAATTGGTCTACACGGACAAGTTCTTGCCTGGTTTAGATCTTATCTGTCGGAAAGATATTAGTTCGTTTCTGTGGATGGTTTGTCCTCTGACAAATCAATTGTAAGTTTCGGCGTTCCTCAAGGTTCCGTTTTAGGACCACTATTGTTTTCACTATATAGTCTACCTCTTGGTGATGTCATTCGGAAACACAATGTCAACTTTCACTGCTATGCGGACGACACAGAGCTATAGATTTCGATGAAACATGGTGAAGCCCCAAAATTGCCTAACCTGGAAGCCTGTGTTTCAGACATAAGGAAGTGGATGGCGGCAAATGTTTTACAGATGCTGGTTCTAGGTCCCAAGAAACAAAGACCTCGGCGTTACTCTGGACTCTGATCTCTCTTTTGACGAACATATAAAGAATATTTCAAGGACCGCTTTTTTCCATCTTCGTAACATTGCAACAATCAGAAACTTCTTGTCCAAAAATGATGCAGAAAAGCTAATCCATGCTTTTGTCACTTCTAGATTAGACTACTGCAATGCTCTACTCTCCGGCTACCCGGATAAAGCACTAAATAAACTTCAGTTAGTGCTAAACACGGCTGCTAGAATCTTAACTAGAACCAAAATATGTGATCATATTACTCCAGTGCTAGCCTCTGGCTTCCTGTTAAGGCAAGGGCTGATTTCAAGGTTTTACTGCTAACCTACAAAGCATTACATGGGCTTGCTCCTACCTATGTCTCCGATTTGGTCCTGCCGTACATACCTACACGTACGCTACGTTCACAGGACGCAGGCCTCCTTAATGTCCCTAGAATTTCTAAGCAAACTGCTGGAGGCAGTGCTTTCTCCTATAGAGCTAAATATTTATGGAATGGTCTGCCTATCCATGTGAGAGACACAGACTCGGTCTCAACCTTTAAGTCTTTACTGAAGACTCATCTCTTCAGTAGGTCCTGTGATTGAGTGTAGTCTGGCCCAGGGGTGCGAAGGTGAACGGCAAGGCACTGGAGCAACGAACCGCCCTTGCTGTCTCTGCCTGGCCGTCTCCCCTCTCTACACTGGGATTATCTGCCTCTGACCCTATTACGGGGGCTGAGGCACTGGCTTACTAGTGCTCTTCCATGCCGTCACATGAGTGGGTTGAGTCACAGACATAATCTTCCTGTCCAGTTTTGCGCCCGCTTGGGCTTGTGCGGTGGAGATCTTCATGGGCTATACTCAACCTTGTCTCAGGGTAGTAAATTGGTGGTCTGTTGATATCCCTGTAGTGGTGTGGGGGCTGTGCTTTGGCAAAGTGGGTGGGTACCTATGCTGCAATAGTCTATGTGCTGGGTGGGTAGGGTCAGTCTGTTACATCTGGTGTAATTCTCCTGTCTTATCTGGTGTCCTGTGTGAATTTAAGTATGCTCCCTCCCTTCCCGGAGTACCTGAGCCTTAGTA